GTGTTCGCCAGCATCTGGTCCTCAAGCCCTCTTATCACTCTGTAGACTTTCTTGCATGATCTTATCAAAGTCATGGTTTCTGTGTCCTCAGTTTTACATACCTACACCTATTTTCCAGAACTTTTTTCCCTGAATCCCAGACTCACATATCCAATTCCATAAAAGATATCTCCACTTAAATATATTTTGGGTGACTCAACTCAGTACATCTAAAATTAAACTCATCGTCTTTCTACAAAAACTCTCTGTATCTTATCATTGTATATCTACATTCTTACTGAAACCAGAATCCAGGGATATAATTGGAATTCTCTCCATCTCACATATATTGATGTCCATTTTCTTGCCCTATTCTCTATCCTCCCTGATTTTTCTTCCACGGTTTATAGCTAACATCCATTAGGCATTTGCACGGGCCAGCTACTGATGTGTTACACATTTTAATTCACTTAATCTTCAAACAGCCCTACTATTATTGTTGTTCCATCTTACAGATCAAGAAATTAAAGAACAGAGAAGTCAAGTAACTCTCTCAAATGTCACAGGAGTGAATGGTAAAACCAGGATTTGAAAACAGGCCATTGATTTTAGTGCACTCTCTCTTAAGTGCTAGAACTTCCTTGTAAGCCCTCATTATTTATTTCTTGTATTACACAGAAGCTTTTTAATTGGATTCTCTCCTCTAGTCTCATTAACTCCTCCCTCAAATTCCATCTTTCATATGATTAATTACCACTGTAATCTTCTAGAATACAATCTAATCATGTTAGTCTGCTCCTTAAAATCTATCATCAGTGCTTCTCCATTACCTGCAGGCTAAAGTCCCAGCTCCTTAATGACATGCAAAGTCCTTCATGATTTGACTCTTGCTTACAAATACAGCCTCTTCTGGAACTTTACCACAGACATGGCACTGTCCAGCCATACTAGACCACTCCCTCAGTGTGTCTCCGTGCTTGTGTTCACTCAGAGCCCCTGTATCAAGGGCAGGCTATTATAGAAATTGCTAACAAGTATGCAAGAGCAGAACAAATGACCCTCCATGGTTTTGTTTTTGTTTTTTTAAAGATTTTATTTATTTATTTGACAGACAGAGATCACAAGTAGGCAGAGAAGGAGGAGGAAGCAGGTTTCCTGCTGAGCAGAGAGCCTGATGCGGGGCTCCATCACAGGAGCCTGGGATCATGACCTGAGCAGAAGGCAGAGGCTTTAACCCACTGAGCCATCCAGGCGCCCTTGACCCTCCGTGTTTTATACAAAGTACTTACCGTACCGGTAAATAAATAGTTCACTCTCACTGGCCTTCATAACTTCCTGAGGGAAGTGTTGGTTCTTTGTATCTGCAGTACCTACCAATGTGCTTGGTAAGTAATAGTCCCTCATTAAATTGTTGTGAAACAATGATGAAATAACTGCTTCATTCCATTTTATGCCATTTTCCTAAACAAAGTCTAGGACACAAAGATCTCTTGAATATCACTGTTCATACCCTGGGTTACTGCCCCGCAGGGGAAATTCATTTTTAAGTGGTGTCAGAATAATAGAGAGGCCATATTGTTTGGTATGGCACATCTTGGCAATGGATATGAGGGTCTAGACATAAAGAAGAGGTGGTCCAAGAAGAGAAACATGAATAGATTTAGACTAGAGAAGGGAAAAATTTGCAACACCTGAGTAACGATACCAGGACATAAAAACATGTTCAATATTTTGGGGAGTTTGTCGAGGAGATAACTAAGAGGGAAAAAGGACATTTTTCCTGTCCTCTGCATGGTGATTATTTTGGGGGAAAGCCAATGCAGAAATTCTTGAATTGTAGAATTTTTTTTTTTAAAGCACATGATAGTTATATTTATTTTACAGTGTTCTGGTGCTTTTGTGACAGGCAGTCAAAAGTGAAATTACCTTCACTGGTCTTGGCTCAGTCCTTCCTTCATTCCTAATCATCCCTTCAAACCCACATCCATTAGACAGAGCAGTTGTCCTTCACCACTACGGAAACGCAGCCCAGAGTTATGTTACCGTGGAAACAGAATCACTTTTTTGCTGCGAGATATATCGCTTTATCTGCATTATTATGAAGCAGAATACATTGGCAGGGCTAGAAGGGGAATCAAATATTCTGCCTGCCAGTGTTGTACTTGGCCTTTGGGTGAATAAATGACTTTCAATTAGAGTGCTTAAGTATCTTTTAACTTCAGTAATTGTTATTAGAGCCCCAGCAGAATTTTACTTGGAAAAGAGTAAAAATTTTGACTCTGCTGTTAAGGAGAGAACTATAAATTCTTCCAAACTATGCCATTTCTGTTAAAATGTGTGTGTGTGTGTGTGTGTGTGTGTGAATTTACAATTAATGGTTTCAAAATGTCTTTGTCCCTTGTTTTTTGACTTTCTGACTTGATCCGACTGCAGATTTATGAGGTCATCCTTACCTCTTCCTTTCTTTGTCTCCACTCTAAACTGCTTTGTAGTGAAACACATATATTTACAATCCCATCCTGGGTTGGGCTGTTTGTCTCCAGATCTCTCTTCTTAACTTGCTGCTGAGCTTCCTCTAGGCCTGCCACTTGCTCCCACTTCCAGTGGTGATACCTTCCCCTAGCCCTCACTCTCATTTGCCCCCTGGCTCTGTTCCTGGGAGGCTCGCCTCATCTCCTGCCATCTTTAAATTTAGTTACTATCTTATTTTATTTCCTCTTCTTGTAACTTCTCTGTTCCTTATTATTTGTGTTCCTGTCTTGAAGACCAGATCTGCAAGAATTACACTGGTAGAAAGATCAGTTCACTAAAATCCCAGGAACAAAACAAAAATCCCTCATCCCTTCAGTTCCAAAGATGCTCACAGACACTGTTTCCTTACAAGTTCAAAGAAAAGCACTATTAAAAAACAAACAAGACACACACACATGCACACATACACACACACATGTAGTCTACTAGGATCACAGGAATATCCCATATAATGGGGAGGGAAGAAAAGTCTCTTACAGTTTGGATATAGATTAGAACAGAAAGTGATACTTTAGAAGTACTAGTGTTTTAATTATAGAGAGGGAAGGGTAGTGTTAAGAGACGAGTGATGATTATTGAGCAGATAGTTTGTTACAAGTATTTTACATCTACATTCCATTTAATTCTCAAATTCATCCTCAGGAGTGATGAGAATCTACTCAGTTGCCCCCAAACCCTAGACGACAGTGATTTCTAATTCTGCTTCCGTTTGTACGTGTCTGTCCAGCAAAGCTCTGACGTGTGGAGAGCTAACAACACCTAAGTAAAATTGAGGGGAATAAAGCCTCTAATCCTGGCTTAGCCTCCACTGGACAGAACTATGGGAAAAATCATTTATTTGTTTCAAATTCAGATTTGTCCTTCCTTATTTAATAGGGATAAATAACCTCTTATCTCCTAATATGTGTAGGGAATTAAGTGGTTAATGTGGGTAAAGCACACTGAAAGTACAAAGGACATTCTATTTCTGTAGGAAGAATGACAGACTGTTGTTACTATAATAGGTGCAGGTTGGTATGTCCGTGTAACTCCCAATCAGTTCAGTCCAAAATCATTGTCAATCCCAAATATGCAGTGTCTTTGAGAGCAGACCCCATCACATATTTTTTCTCTGTCTCCCAAATCATCTTAACATAGTGCTGGGGTGTGTAGTGGATGCTTAATATACATTTTCGAGTGATGGAGTGGGTGATTAAATCCAGCTATTGTTCAATATCTCCTTGAGTCATTAGTTACAGATGCAATTTTATTATAATATCAAGAAGGATTCCTTAAATGCCTGGATACAATTAGCCCAAGTTGCTTTAAGAAGATACAGTCATAACTCTGGTTTATAGTATTATCCAGCTGAGGTTTGTTTTTTTTTTTTTTAAGATCTATTTATTTATTTTAGAGAGAGAGAGACAGAGAGAGTGGGGGGAGGAAAGGGGCAGAGGGAGAGGGAGAGAGTATCTCAAGCAGACTCAGCACCGAGCAGAGTCCCACACAGGGCTCAATCCCACGACCCTGAGATCACGATCTGCACTGAAACCAAGAGTCAGACACCGAACCAAGTGCACCATCCAGGGGCCCTATCCAGCTGAGTTTTAACAGAAATAATGGCCAATTCTTTCTATTATAACATATAAGGAAATATTTTATTTCCCTAAACTCCATTGCTTGCCTTTCAGAGAATCTCAGAAAACATTTGTGCAATAAATAGCAAAAAATAATTTACCTAGACCCTGAGATTTCACTTTCCATACCTCTAACAAATTAACAATAACTGCTCCATTTTGAGCATTTACTGTGTATGTACTATACACACACTACCCCTTTCATTTTTGTAATGACCCCCTGAAATTGAATCTATTATTGTCCCCTGTTATAGGTGAGGAAACAGATTCAGAGAGTAAAAATAACCTGTCCAAATCATAACCTGTCCAAGTCTATAGCACAGCCTGATCCAAACCCATACAGGCTGATTCTAAGGTATTGCTTTTAACCAGGATCCTGCATACCAGCCAGGTGCATAAATCACCTCTGAGAAAACCAGCTTTCTTTTGCTGCCTGTCTCCATTAAGTTCTTTATCCTTCATTTTATAAAAGAAAGGAAGGAAGGGAAGAATGAGGGAGAAAAGACAGAAAGAAGGAAGGAAGGAGGGAAGGAAGGGGGGAAGAAAAGGGAAAGAGAAAGAAAAGGGGAGGAGAAAGGAACAGAGGGGACTGGAGGGGAGGGGAGGGAGTGGGAGGGGAGGAGAGAGAAGGGAAGGGAAGGGAAGGGAAAGTAAGGGAAGGGAAGGGAAGGGAAGGGAAGGGAAGGGAAGGGAAGGGAAGGGAAGGGAAGGGAAGGGA